CGGGATGGATTTGGCCCACGAGCCGGAGTTTGTCATGTCTGTGCTCACTAGGGCTGCAAAAAATATCCAAAATGTGTAGTATACATATGAAAATGATTCGATGAGTAAACTGCAATTCAATATATTTTTGCATAGACCTAAATCACAACAGTATTTATCTCAAAAGACTTTACAAAGCTGTCGATTCGCCAACACAGATCAGAGAATCAAACCGTCCGAACACGAGAAATGCAATGGCTTTCACCACTAGTGTCTAAACCCCTGGGGAATCTTTTTCATATGTACATTAATTTTAATTAACTGAACTCTTCTGCTACATCTGCAGAGCTCTGAGCAAAAAAAAAACCCGTATCTCAACACACCACGTATAAGTATGTCAATAAATGTCAATCTGCACGCCGGCTGGATCTAAGTGCCAATAAACCAGAAGCAAGCAATTCACTCCATGCAACTGTTACTCAATAAAAAAAAAAAACATGTATATTATTAGCTATGCAGACCTTGGAGTATATACACCGCAATTAAATGGGTCAGAAGCAAACTCACGACAGACAGGCTCTTTAGTTCTTTAGTTACTACAATGTGTCTAGTAAAAACACTCACATAAACACACACGGTAAGGAAGTCCTGGACAGAATGCAAAATAAGAACGAAAATATTTAAAAGAGAAAAAAATTGATCTTTAATAATACTGGTCGGAACAGGATCTTTCTGAGTAGAGTTTTTATGTTCTCCTCGTGACTGCATAGGTTTCCTCCAGGTGCTCCAGTTTCCCCTATACACTAAAAACATGCACAATAGGTCTGGCATACGAGTGAGAGATAATTGCCCACAACAATTTTGAAGTGCTTTGTGACTGTGTTCTGTGAAAGGCGCTATTTATATAAACATCACTTACCTACAAAAATATCCACATTTGTCAAACAAGAATCAAAGGATTTTCACTAAATATGATTGACGTGCATGATTGATGGTAATGGGCTACTATGGCATGTTGTACTTTAAAGGTTATTTTCAATCACATCCGTCTACAATTACAAGCCTTCCTTACTTTCGGTTCAGTTTTGGTTAATGTCATGATACACATAAACATATACAAACTCATGCTAAATAAAAGTCATAATGTAAGCAAATATCCACAGCTGCAGATTAGCTTCAAACTAAATGAGTCTGACTCTAGATGGTCTTATCCACATGTTACTGGTTCTCGCTTTGGTACCATGTAGGGTCGCTGTCGTCCAAATGCAGCTACACGCAAAAGTCAGCAAAAAAGGCCGACTCGATGTATGAAATATGAAAATAACCAAACAACAATATACCTATGCATATATTTGTACAATTTCATCTGTTTACATCTGTTTTCAGATTCAGATTCATTGTTTTGCCATTTGCAGTAAAACCACATTGGAAAAACTGTGCAAGACTACCCCAGTGTGCACCAGATGACACACAACAGAGCTCTTTTGCAGGCCTGAAAGAGCTGCACACTGCAAAAAATGAAAAATATTAGGTAATAATAGCTTGAATCAAGGGTTTTTAATCATAATTTGAGTAAATACTGACTGACTTCTAACACGATTTGCCAATGGGACAAAACCATTTAGTTTTAATTCAAGAAATGTTGCTGTATTTTCTCATTCCAAAAGAGACATTTCTTGTATCTCTTTGAAACATCATTTTGTTTGTCCCATTGGAAAATCTTGTTTTAAGGCAGTCAAAAGGTGACCAAATTAAGATACATTTTTCCAAATTTGAGACATTTTTTTTTACTTTTACAGTGCATCATTGTATTGTCATTGTAGATAGACTGTTTCAACATTGCACAAGGTTCTTAAAGCTCTCTTGTAACTAGCAGTATACACCTTCATTAAAAGTCACAAGTGCATTTAACCCTTTGAGTGTTAGGGACAAAAAAAAAACCCCAGCCCTATTAAAATTCTAATTAGCTGTGATGTAAAGTCATGTAGGGAATACCTGAGAAGACGAGCTGCTTTAGAATGATCAAGGCGTCACTTTGTCCTTGAGCTACAGAACGGATTATTCAGAAGTCACCTCTGAGAAGTCGAGCTCACCGCGTAACCGTCATCTGAAATGAGCTTTTAGAAGTACAAAAGAAAAATACAAAAAAGAGATAAAGAAACTGTTAAACAACTGGTTACTGTCAGAATATGTTTTAAAGAGAAATTATTACGCAATGTCTTTGTGTCCGTTTTGGCCATTTAATATTGAGGGATAATATTTACTTTTTTCTGTTTTAATGCATTGTGAAAAAGACTATACATAAGAAACAAAAACATAATGAACAGTCAGAGATATAGTGGACTGCATTATCAATGACAGAAATAGAAATGGATTAAGGGGAAGAAAATGGATGGATGGATAATTTCTTCTATAATAATAACTTTTGAATGCCCTTGAAACAGCAGCTAGTCCTTAGTAGCTCTGTTATTTGTTACAGTGTTCATGGTTTAACACTGATTCAGAGCAGAGTAAGTAAGTAAGTAATTGTTATTTATATACCGCCTTTCACAGACCAGAGTCTAAAAGCGGTTTACCATTGTTATTTTTTGGGCATAGTTGTCTCCCACTCCACACAAGAGATGGGAGCGGGGTCACCAGTACAGGAGGTGCATGCCAGACCTATGTTTTTAGTGGTAGGGAAACCGGAGTACCCAGAGGAAACCTACGCAGACACGGGGAGAACATGCAAACTCCACTCAGAAAGGCCCTGTTCAGACTGGAATTCGACCCCAGGACCTTCGTGCTGAGAAGGGAGAGGGCTATCCACTCGGTCCATGCCGCCCATGGACCGAACCAAGCAGAACAAGCAAAGATCCACTGGAGGAATGCTAATTATTTTTTTAAATGCTAACAAAGCATTTTACTTTGGACCAGAGCAGAGAAAATGGTCCGAACCAAGCGGCTACTCCACCTCTGCTGCTGTGTCCGGTCCTGCTCCATCCAGCAGCTATCTCCTTTTGGTCTGGGTATAAAACCATTTGAACGCTCTGGTCAGGTTGCTTACACTGTGAACCAGCCATAAAAATAAAATAAAAATATGCCAAGACGCAATCCTAGACCTCTGCATCTTTTTTTTTTTCATTCTTCCTCACAAATGTGGAGTCAATACTTTTGCTTTAGATCCAGATTCAGTTTATTTGCCATTTGCAGTAAAGCCACATTGGATTACTTGTGCAAACGTTGCCTGTGTGCACCAGACAAATACTTAAAAGTACAAGAAACAATAGTTACTGTGAAACCAATCAACGGCCTAAATAAAAGGTTCAAGATCAAGAAAGTGTTTTGTTCACACCTTGTGGACAGAAGCATATCAAGGTGTCCTGCATTTCAACAAATGATATCTTCTGCCAGAGGGATGAAGCTGGAACATGGCTTTTCCAGGGTAGCCAGAAAAGTCATTAATTATTCTAAGAACTTTTAAAAGGGAAAAAAAAACCTTTCCATTGGGTCATAATCAGAGGATTTGTCATAGTGCACAGAGTTTGAAAACAGAAAGCCTGGCCATACGGATGGGGGGTTCCTTTTTATTCCAGAAGTTCCTATTGTAGCCTATGTGTGGCTAAAACATCTAAGTCACTATTGGGGCTGAGATCTGATTGGCTGAGCAGGAGTGGTCCTCAATTTTTCAATTCCTTTCCAGAAAAAGGTCTGTGGCCTTTGCCTTGTGCTGTGGTTTTCAAACAATGCACCAGGAAATACTCCAGACTCCTGACTGCCACCATATCTTAGCCAGCGCCCAAAAAGGAACAAATAGGACAACAGTATCTCAAACGGTGATAGTGAAACGGATTTTATCACTTTTTTTTCTGGTTTGGGTTTGAAAACTATACCAAAGCTAAAATCTGGAACCGTCTTCCTGAAAATGTGAGAAAGGCGTCTACTCTGACAACGTTCAAAACCAGGTTAAAGACGGTTCTGTGTTATTCTGTTCTGTATTTATTATTTTAATCCCTTGAGTGATTTTTACGTTTTAAATTACCTGCGTTATGTTAATGTTTTTTGTCCCTTGTGTGATTTTCATGTTTTACTGATTTTAATTACATTTGGGATTTTACTTGTGTTTTAAACGGTAATTTTGGTGTTTTTTTATGTGATGATTTGTGGACTGTGAAACGCTTTGTGGCGTGTGTAGGGATTGATTCATCACTGAAAAAAATCACTGTATTGTTTTACAACTCCATCCATCTTCTTCTTCTGCTTTATCTATTGGGGAGTCGGCCGCAGACTTCCTCACCCACGCATTCTTCCTCGAGCCCAGACAGTCTCTTGCTCAAGGGCACACTGACGCAAACTGGTTACACACGACTTGTCCCACACATTTCATAAACATGGTGACAATTTCTGCTGTGCGTCTGTTTGGTGTGCGGTGTGAAATAGTAGCAGTTGTGTTTTGTAAGACATGGTTTAGAACCGGCAGATTTCTATTTCATTCCAAATCTGATTAATTATGTTTAAATCAGATGCATATAATCTATTAATCTGATAATTTTGCCCTTATCCAACATCATAAATACCATTAAAAGTTCAATCTTTTTTGTTTCTCATCTTGCCTTCTTCAAAGTGTCTCGGCTGTAAAATAAAACTTAAGCAGAACCATCCATCAGCCTTGAATTGACGGACATAATTACGCATTCAAAAAAAAAAAAGTGCGTGGCCGAAAAGGAAAGTTTGAGGAAGACGGATTGAGATTGAAGGTCTGAGCAGGGCCGTGTGGCTCAAAACGGTTCGTAAATCACTGCACGCCAGCCTCAGTGGGCGGACACATGGCGGAGGACAAGTGTGAGCCGAGCGTGTCATGGCCGTCCATGTTCTGAAGTCTGAAGGACACGCAGCTCTGTCAGGGGGAGACAGAGGGGGAGGCAGATGGGGAGGTAGAGGGGGAGGCTGGAGTAATGTATGTTCATAGGACCTCACAAAATAGACAACAGGGAAATTTCGGGCCCACAAGACGAGTGAAGAGAAAATATTATGGAAATTGGCTAAATGCAGAGGGGAGGCAGAGTGGGAGGAGGAAGAGAGGCAGAGGGGGAGGAAGAGGGGAGGCAGCGGGGCAGGTAGAGGCAGAGGGGGAGGTAGAGGAGATGTAGAAGCAGAGTGGGAGGAAGAGGAGATGTATAGGCAGAGGGGGAGGTAGAGGAGATGTAGAGGCAGAGGGGGAGGAAGAGGGGAGGCAGAGGGGCAGGCAAAGGAAGAGGGGGAGGAAGAGGAGAGGCAGAGGGGTAGGTAGAGGAGATGTAGAGGCAGAGGGGGAGGAAGAGGAGAGACAATGAGGGACGTAGAGGAGAGGTAGGGGCAGGAAGAGGAGACGTGAATGGGGATGCAGAGGTGGAGAGGAGGCAGAGGAAAGCAGAGGAGTGGTAGAGAGGAGGCAGAGAAGGAGGTAGAAAGAGGGAGAGGCGGAGGGTGGGGGGCATGGAGGGAGAGGCATGGAGGAGGATGCAGTATACCAGGGGTGGCCAACCCGCGGCTCGTGAGCCGCATGCGGCTCTTTGGCTGGTTCCGTGCGGCTCTCGGGCTTTCACTCGACAAGCGTCAAAAACGCCTCGGTGGTGGCGCTGCCTTTCATTCCATATGTAGTTCTGACCAATAGTAAAGGCGGACTCCACTCCACTAGCCAGGCCACCAAAACAATCTGACGTCGGCGAACGTCAATTCTGGTTGGTCAGATGCATTGTCAACCACTCTGCAGCCGCTGCCTCAGCTGTAGCAAATATCATAACAAACAACACGTTGCCTCGAACCATGACGTCCGTACGGAAAAGAATTCCTTGGTCGCTGGATGAGGGCAACACCTTCCTCAGTTTGAGGAGAGGACACCAGCCTGATCTCGCTGGTTCCACCAGAAACCAGAAGGTGTTTGTGGAGCTAGCACTAAGGACGGAGCAGAATGATTCCCACAAACATGACAATGCAGAGAAAAGTTAAAAAGCTTAAAAGTGACAACCGTGAAATGAAAGATCGCAGCAGCAGAAGTAGAGGCAGACCCGAAAAGTCTGGAGGTGGTTTGACCAAATGGATTACATTTACGGACATCGGCTAACACCGGCTAACATGCTAAAACCAGCTAACAACAACTAGCATTACACCAGGAGATAAGCCAACTCTGCCTGGTGAGTGTCTGTCTTCAATCAAATGCAAAAGTATCTGGTCTTATACTGAGCATGTGTCTGTGGTTCTAAATCAGCTAAAGTGGTGTTGGTGTTATGTGTCAAATCTATATCTTTTACTAAAGACAGTTGTGTTTCTGCTGAACACTGGGTTGAAACTTGATTTTTTTTTCTTGGTTAGAGATTGCAAGCATTCATTTCGGAATCATAATTGATGTTCGCTGACGTGAAATTGTTCTGGTATCGACTCGCCCGGTTAGAACCAGGGCCAAACCATTAATAAAAAGTACCGGGGAGCGGCTGAAGCGAGCGGTGGAAGCGCCCGCAAACCGGGGAGAGTCGAGTCCAGCCCTTTAGTACTGTACGAGTCAATTTCTGTCATTATCATGTTGATGACATTTACAATAAATCTGTCTGAGCAGAGCACACCTCTCTCTGCACAGACAGATTGCATGTGTGTGCGCGTGTCTGCTCGTGTGCGTACGTGCCCGTGTGCGTGCGTGTGTAAGGGTTGGGGTGATGTTTATGTAGTGCACATTTGTATGATGTGGCTCTTTGCTGTAACACAGTAAAAAAAATTGGCTCTTAGTCTCTGACTGGTTGGCCACCCCTGCAGTATACTATATGTTCATGGGATCTCAAAACGGACAACGGGAAGTCTGTGTGACGAGTGAAGGCCCACTGGTGGAAAATATTGTACTAGAGCAGTGGTTCTCAAAGTGGGGGTCATGGGACACTATCAATAAATCAGTCCATATCACACAGGCATAAACCTTCACATAAATCAAAAACATTAAAATCACACTATAGGCTGGGGGTCTTGAGATCAGTCGAATTATATGAAATGGCATAATTATTAGCTAAAATAAGTGAAGTGAAGTGAAGTGAAGATATTAGATAACCGTTATTCGTCAAACAGCGGGTAAATATCCTTTGGCCATACAGATCCCATCAGACCTCTGAAGCTGTGCAGGGCCGGACCTGGTTAGCACTGTGATGGGAGACCTCTGGGAAGACTGGGTTTTCACTGTGGGGCGGCTGCGGCTGTAAAGTGCCAAACTGTAGTTGTGTCCTTGGGCAAGACACTTCACCCACATTGCCTAGAAAGAGTCTGGTGTGTGTGTGTGTGTGTGTGTGTGTGTGTGTGTGTGTGTGTGTGAATGGTTGGTAGTGATCAGAGGGACCGATGGCACATTCTGATTGCCTTGCTTCTCTGTCAGTGTGCCCCAGGGCAGCTGATGCCTCATAAATGGTTTATTTTTAGTTTTTCATTCATATCTTTTTAGGAACATAACTTTTTCATTCAGAAGTGGTTTCTTTTCCTCTGCTGCATTCCTTCTTATACAGAGACAATAACAACAGACTCATTCCACATTCTATGCTTGTACAAGATAATGTCCGGACCAGATGGTTGGAAGGATTTTTTTTTCATAACTGTTGTAAATCCACCACATTATACAATCGCTGTGTTTAATTTGCTGCAAACGTTGTCTTTGTGTAATTCCATCTTGTGTTGCGTTTTAAAAGATGTATGCAAATGCAGCATCACAAGATTGTTCATCGATGCTCACAGCTGTCTCACACCTGTTTCCTGTCGCCCTTAAAGGAACCGTTCTCAGCCAGAAACGTTTGCAAATCAGCCGCTTGTGGTTGAACTTAAACAAACATAAACACACAATACAGCTGCCTGAGTTGCTCGCAATTTCTCTTTGTTTTCATGAGTTGCACTTGGCACAGAATATATATTTGTGATCACATTTATCATGGAGAGAATTTAACTCTATAGTAAATGTTACGGCTTTTCGTTTTGGAGGTGTAAATACAGCGCCTATGTACGTTTTTGGTGTTCATTTCATGACTTACTGTATTCTGTTTCTATATGAAAGTAACACGATCCTAGACTTGTCCTAGACTGGCTCAAGAACAGCTCTAGTTCCCATAGCAACACACTGTTTACTTGCAGCAGTTTGCATTTATATAAACCAGTTTTAACAGGCATGTATTAAAAATAAAAGTTGATTTGATTAAAATGGGCAACAGTTTCTCAGTTGGTAGAGCATTGGTCGTTGGGCCTGAAGGTCGTGGGTTCAAGCCCACCACATGACCTACTTCATGACTCCACTGATGTCTGCTGTCGTTGTGTCCTTGGGCAAGACACCTAACCCCACTTTGCCTGAAGCCTCCGCTGTGGACTCACCACCAGCAGGAGGGTCAGTGAGGGGCTGGTGATATGTGAATTGGGTGCAGCTCTGACTACCCTTTTTCCCACTGGGTTTTTTAAGAGTTTTTCCTTGTCGATGCAGGAGGGTCTTGTTGGACAGTTAGTGTCCAACAGAAAGGATTGGTGATGATCAGGACACTTTAGCATTCTACAACATGTATGGACATTTTCTTCTGTGTGTGCTTTATATTCTTCATGTGTTTTAACTGTTGATTCTCTGACCTGTGTTGGTGATTTCAATGGTTTTGTTAAGTCCTCTGAGATGACTTCTGTTGTGACCTAGGGCTATACAAGAATAAATTGTATTGTATTGTATTGTGTACTACACACTAATATATGCACTCGGAGAACACATACCTACGTCAAAACAATGGATCGTGCTGTAACTGGAAAAGGGTTTTGTTACTATCACAATACACAAACATACACACACACGGACACGCACAGGCGTCTGACTAAAGGGTAAAGGGTACCGAGTACCCAGGGCCCAAGGCGGGGAGGGGCCCTCTACAGTGTGTCTATATGTATATGTATTACGCAGTAACTTAGTGCTGGCTCATCGAGTGTGTTTGTACCCGGGGCCCAGAATTTGGTGCTACCCCCTGTGGCATACACACACACACACCGCTCTGTTTTTGGGGTTAAATATAGTGTTAAAATGGCTCCAACCGACTTGATTGTTTACTGTGTCTTTTCTTTAGTTTTACTTGGGAAGACGCAGGGCCACCTCCAGACAAAAGCTACATTTGTCCTTGGTTTGTGCCTTGGCCTTTGGAGTCTCTTCCCTGTGGAGCTGACGGCACAGTTTAAAATGTCAATATCTCCTGACGTGACGTTCAGGTGAGGACGGTGTCAAAAATACCATTGCTTGAAGTTCTGTTTGAGAGAGGAAGAAAAAGAAGACGAAGACATAACTATTCATCTGGCTGTGAATCCAGTATGAGCAGAGATCTCCTACCACAAGATCTCAGTGGATTCAAATATCAAAAAACAATAGGATGTATTTGTATTTGATATGTTTTTGTATGTATTTTGGGCGGCACGGTGGCTGAGTGGATAGCCCTCTCGTTTCTCAGCAAGAAGGTCCTGGGGTTTGAATCCCGGTCGGAACAGGGCCTTTCTGAGTGGAGTTTGCATGTTCTCCCTGTGTCTGCTCCGGTTTCCTCCGGGTGCTCCGGTTTTCCCTACCACTAAAATCATGTACAATAGGTCTGGCATGCGCCTTCTGTACTGGTGACCGCACTCTTTGTGTGGAATTGTAAACCACTTTTTGACTCTGGTCTTGGAAAGGCGCTATATAAATATATAAACATTACTTACTTACTTACTTTGTTTCAGAAGTTGAGGGCGACAGTAGCTCAGTTGGTAGAGCATTGGCCTTTGAGCCAGAGGGTCGTAGGTTCGAGCCCGACTCTCACCATCGACTCCCACTGCCTGCTGTCGTTGTGTCCTGGTGGTGGTGGTCGGAGGGGCCGATGGCACACACTGGTTGCCTCGCTTCTGTCAGTGTGCCCCAGGGCAGCTGTGGCTACAGTAGTAGTTTATCACCACCGTGTATGGAGTGAAAGAATAATGACATGTAAAGCGTCTTTGAGTGTCCAAAAGCGCTATATAAAACTGATGCATTATTAAGTTGCTGATGAAGCTAACCCAAGTGCTGTTGAAATTTAGGGCAATACAAAAATACATTGAATTGAATTGAATGGTTTTCGATACAGCAACAATTTTTGTACTAGAATTCTCTTTGCATTCCCAAAATTGCAACAAGACATTTGACAAATTCGTCAATGGACACAGTTGTGACAGGGTGGTGAAGGACACTCTTATCTCCTCAAAGTAAACAGGAAGCTGCTTTACTCGGTCACTTCCGACTCTCACCGCACAAGGTCATTACCAAACTTTGCTGTGACACCAAACTCAAAACATACATTCACAAAAACAGCAGACTCATGTTTTTAAGCGTGATACACAGTGCACACTTCAATTTTTATTTGAAAGAAGAAACATTATTCACAAGCTTTGGCTACAATAAGATTTTTCACTTAGTTTTAGAACGTGAATCATCATCTCCGGTGGGAAAAATATG